CGCTTATTTCACTATAATTGTGTAGTTGTTCTCTAATCGATTTAATCAGCTTTATTGCCCTTTTTAGATCTTTCCTTTATTTTCTAGAATTTTAATTGATTTTAATCGTTTTTCTAGGATTTTAATTCTTTTAGTAGAGTTTTAATAATAATTTTCTATTTTTAGAATAATTCATTTTAGATATTAATAGATATTTCTTTTTAAATAATTTTCTCTAGTTTTAATAGAGTTTTATTAGATATTAGAATATTAGTTCTTTTTATAGAATAAATAGTAAATAAAGTTAATAGGGTTTAATATAGAATTTAAATAGTTTTTAGATTAATTAGATCATTAATTGTGTAGTTTATTAATTAGGATTAGTTTTAATCATTTTTTTAGTTTCATTAATCATTTTCGTTTTCAGCATTAGCACTAATCATTTTCGTTAGTTGCAGTTTATGGGTCATTTAATATTTGTTAGCTTGCATTAATCAGTATTAGTCCATTAACAGAGTCATTAAGGCCATAGTGGGCCGTGTGTCCAAGTTTGGGGGCCCAAAATGCCACATGTCAGGTATATAAGCTTCCACGCGTGTGCTTTCATCGGTTGACACCTCATTCATCACTGACACCTCACTCTCCACCACTCAGTCTCATTGCCACGTCTCACTCTCTCTATCTCCCACCTGTCCCACTATCTCCTCATCCCCTGCATGCTCGCCAACTGTCTCCCACTAACTTCCCCTCCACCGGAGTACATGCAACCGCCGCACCGGTCACCGGTAACCGTCACCGGTGAACCCTAACCGTCGCCGGAGTCCTCAACCACCACCGGAAACTGCCAAATCTCCAGAAAACTCATCCAAATCCATACGAATTTCACCAATGCCTTGCCGGTAAACTCAAGATCTCACCGAACTTCATCAATCTTCCCAGATCTCATCAACTCTTCACCGGAAAACTCATGCAATCTTCATGATTCTCCAGCAATCATCAAGGTCTTCACCTCATGTTCATCAAAATCATCGTAACTTCGCCGGAAACCGCAAGAAATTCCTTCAACTTCATCCGTGTTCATCGCCTTCGTCCTACAGTTCTCTCCAGAAATCATCATAATCTTCAAGATTTCTTCAAGAATCTCCAAAACTTCATCAACTCATCAGTGATTTTCCAGATCTATCAGATCTGGATTCGTGTTCATCATCCATTCATAGATCTCCAGAAACATCATCAAAGAACATTCATCGTTCATCAACTTTTTTCATCAGTCTTCAACAATCTTCAGATCCTTCGAGATTTTCGTCCAACAAACTTCTCCTCATCCGCTTTTCAGAAATCATCAGGGACACCAAACGATTAAGCAATTTCTTCATAGCGTTTCTTCGAACTTCCCAGATTCTCCTCAAGATTAACGAAGATCTTCATGTTCATCAGCGATCTTCAAGAGACTCATGCGTATCCTGTGTCCAGAAGTTCTTCGTGATCTTCGTCACATTTGCGAATCCAGATTCCCTCAAAGTTCGTGGATCTCCAACAATCTCCTTCAACGCTTTCAAAATCATCATCTATCGCAATCTCCAGATCCACATGCATCTTCAAGGAATTCTCCAAGAACTGCTTCAAGAAATCTTCATCAGTTATTGCTTGCCTTCAAGAACATCAAGTACGGATCAGGATTTTTGTTCCAGAGCTTTGATAGTTTGATTGAGTGTTTTGTTCAGTTGTTTTGTAGGATTCAAGACGAAAGTTGTTTGAGCGGAGAAAAAAATGTTACGAGAGAAGGAATATTGTGAGAGAGAAGAAGTTTGAATGGAGGAGGCTGAGGTGTAGACGGCTGGTAGCGGCGGAGAGAAGAGAAGGCTAGGGTTAGGGTTTCAGAAGTCTCAGAGAGTGAGGGAAGAGAGGAAGGGAATGGATCGGGGAGATTGGGCCTCAGGTCCAACGAGTGTTTTTCGGACCATACCCCTGTTCCCCTGCATTCACCCCCCTGTTTTTTTTCCTTTTTCCTTTTTTTTCTTTTGAAGTGATATTGGGCTGGGCCCATTCTTTTTTTACTAGATACACCTCCGTTTCTCTTATCACACCCCTCCCCGTTTTTGTTGCTAGTTGTTGGGCTGGGCCCAACTCTCTTTTGTTTTGCTAGCAGCACCCCTAATGAACTAATGCCCCCTGCAGTTTTTTATTTCCTTTATTTTTCTTGTATTGTTTTTAATTCAAAGAATAGAATTTTTAGGAATAATTTCTTTTAGGAAATTTAGATAATATTTTCATTTAGGAAATTAGTTTAATTTTCTTTTAAGAGAATTTAGGACTTAGTTAATTTCTTGTTAAGGAGATTTATATATTTAATTCTTTTCAGGATATACTTTCCAGTAGCATCTAATTGTCGTATTTTAGGAGTAGACTTTTATTTCTGTTTTGTCGTTGGATTTCTCTCCTATTTTCTTTTTCTATCCTATTTTATTCTCGATTTTATTTCTGGCTGGCCGTGTGACACGATTCAATTGGAGAATGATTTTCGATATCATTTCTCTATCTTGTCTTTGACACGTGTAATACCCTGATTTTTACCCCTAAGATCCCATATTTCATTTGCATCATTACATACGCAAACAAGATCATACTTTATGGTTCTCCCGACACCCTTGTGTGTTTCTTACTTGCTTTTTATTGTTTATGTTTACTAACCTCTAACCAAAATACCAAAAATATTTTGCAATTTTGCTTGTTTCCTCTTCTTTGTGTGTTTAGGGTTTTGCAAGGAGATTGATGGCAAAGACTTTCATTCAAGTTTAAATCAGATGGACGTTTGACCTCATCTTGGTCAAACTATCAAGAGTTTGCTTCAACTATAAGTTACCCGTGGTGGTGGGCTATTTTCTCAGACAATGTGTTTGTTCAAGGTCAAGTTGTCATGTATCAGAATTCATCAAGCTTTCAAGCAGTGTTCTATGAGAAGTTTGGTCAGGATTATCACGATCAGGGTTCATCAGTCTAGAGTTTTGTCTGTACAAGTCAGGTTTGGTGGATGTTCAATCAAGATGTTTGTTTTAGGATAGAAGTCCAAAGTGCTCATTCAAGTGTGCCATTTCCAAGTGATTTTAAAGCATGATTGAAGGTTGTCAAGAGTTTAACAAGACAAGATGATTGTCACAATTCAAAGTCCAATTTTCAAATGTCATTCAAGTTTTCAAGACAGGACATGCATCATACAAGTTTTCAAGATCATTTTCAAGGCATAGTTATTATTCAAGGTCTTTCAAATATGGTTCGTGGTCAGCAGCTATCTGAATTAGAAGAGTGAAAAATCAGGACTGGGATGTGATGGAAAGCATGCGGTTGGCTTTAGTGAATGTTGTAAATGCTGTTCTTGACAGATCCAATGATATTGCCGATGCTCAGTATTATGATTGGATAAAACTCTTGGAAATCGTTTCAAGATGGCAAGACATCTATGGAAGTTTCTCGCTTACGACCTACAGTTCTCATCTCAAAGGTTCCTTATCTGTGTTGGCAGTATGTTGCCTAGGCCACACTCCGGCAGTTGAAGATGTGTTATCGCTTGTCATAGGACCAAATTAGAGATCTTTATCAGTGTCGGCGGCAATATGTTCAGTTATACCTGGTTTCTCTTCAACAGTCTCCATCCGTGCCAGTAACAACACATCACGCGCCTTCAGTGCGAAATTTGGCTGAGCAAGATTGTCCACAAACTCTTAAAACATCTCAACATTTGGGTGGTCTACAGAGTCAATATATTAGAGATCCCACACCTGCAACTCGTCCCAATGTTTCAGGTTGGTACCTTGCGAAAATTACAAGCAAAGGACACGCGGGGTCCATCATCTTCTGTAACTTCTCTCCAGGCAAAACCTCAACAGCGACAGCTGGGCCCTTCACAGGTTGAAGTTACTCTTAAAGCTAAGCAGCCACTCAAGTCCAAAGTTTCTTTAGCCAAAACCAAAGCGAAAGAAACATCAGAAAAGTCATCCAGCTCCATCTGTGAAGAGTGGAGTCATCCCAACAAATCTGGACCAATTACCAAAAGTCTAGATGCAAGTAACCGTCCATTTCAATCAGGGGTTAAGCCTACTCGGTCAATTGGTGCTTCCCCTACTACATTAATTTCTTCAGGGTCTTCCTCCGTGTCATTAGGTTCTTCAAATGATCATTCACAAGCTTTGCCAAAACTACCTCAAGGGAAGGTTTTAAAGAAGCAAAAAAAAAATCTACTCAACCATCTGCATCTGCTTCCTCTAATGAACGCGGTGCATCAGCTCCGAGCTCAAATACCGTCAATAAGAATACCTTGAGTCCAATTTCAAATCTTTTAAGTTCATTAGTTGCTAAAGGTTTGATATCCGCAGGAACGGAGTCAGCAACTGTAGTGCCAAATGAGATGGTGATTCGATCGAAAGACCAAACCGATGGCATCACTACTAGTTCCTCATTGCCAGTTGTTTCAGTTCTTGATTCTGCAACTGTCCCAATAAAATCTTCCAAAGTTGAGGTAGATGGTGATGAGGTGGACGATGATGAGGTAGACGGTGATGAGGTAGATGATGTTGCAAAAGCCTCACTTGCCTTGTCTCAATCAACTAGCACAGAGATTAAATCTCATTGGCTTTGATTTCAAACCTGATGTAATTCGAGAAATGCACCCACATGTAATCGCAAAATTATTAGATGAACTCCCACATCATTGTGGTAAAAGTGGTATTAGGCTTAAACACCTAGAACAGTTTGATAGACACTTGGAATGGCATGCTACAAAAGAAAGAGTACAAAATGGTTTGAATGGAGCATCAAGATGGTACGCAAAGTTGAATGACTGGATTGCTGGCAAGGCTGGATATCTGTCCGAGTCTGAATTTACTGATTCTATCGATGAACATGACGATGAAAACATATACGAGAGTCAATTGGATTCTATGGTGTTAGCATATGAAAATCAATGCTTGTGTGTATTGTGTGGTGAGCTATTTGAAGATGTATACTGTCAGGAAAGGGAGCAATGGATGTTCAAGGGGGCTGTTTACCTGAACAATTCCGATAACGTTAGTGAGACGGAAAGTAGAAATGCGGGCCCCATCATTCATGCTAGATGTTTATCAGAGAACAAAATATCTGTTGTGACCAATACAAAGCTTGATTAATAGGATTTCCCTATAGCATTGAAGCCGAGGTAATGTTAGTAGCTTACCAAGGGTACCCAGGTTCTCATTGCATACTAAAACTTGATGGCTCATTGACATTTAAAATGAGTGTCTCTAACGACTATCCAAAGAAATCAAACAAATTTTGTGCCCTTTTGTTTCTTTTTCTTGTACTAAGGGAAAAAGAAAAGAGAGGCTTTTGGTTGTGGTTAACGCGTTGCTCCACCGCTACTACAAATATCCAACAGCTACAACTGCAGAAGTTCCTCAATCTCTCAAGAAAGAGCTCTCAGGTGTTTGCAGGGCTTGCTTTTCAGCAGACGCCGTAAATAAGCATGTTGATTTTGTTAGGGAATACAAACAGGATTTTGAACGTGATCTTGATTCAAGAAGCACTTCCACATTCCTCTGGTAATCGTCAAATACAGCAACACAAAACATGCATGCTTACGGCGCTTTGATTATTGTTGGTATGAGTACTACTCTGATCTTCATTTACAACTGTTATGATCAAGTTCTAGCTACTAGAGAAAGAAGGAAGAACATCTTTAAAAAAAAAAGCCAGATCAGCTCTTGTTTAAAGCTAAACAAGAAAAAGAGTCTTCAGCTAAAGAGGCTCGTTTTGAGCAAATATGGAAGAGCAGGAAAGTAAATAAGGGGACATCTGTTGAAAATACATTACAAGAAATATGCCAGTTCTATGACATTGTTCGTGTTGACTCTCAAGAACAAATTAAGGAGGTGCAGCACAAAGATATCTCCTTGGAGGATCAAAAACTTTTGTCTAGTTTCCTCCCTTTGCTAAGAGAGGTTATTCCTAATGCTGCTGCAGAGATTGAAGTTGATATAAGTGCTCATTCCCAACAAGAGGACTATGTTTATGACCTCTACACTGTAACAGATGAGACGATTAATGAAGAAAATTCTTCACATTCTTATCCACTTGTTCAAGTTGATGATGAAGATTATTGTGACGGGCCTGACGATTTGGATCACGAAACTGATGACTCAAATGCTGAAGTCCATGCTGGAATGTGGCGTAAAAATGGAGATGCTGCTTTACTATCGTGTGAATGGTATAGATCAGTGCGCTGGTCTGAACAAGGTCTGGAGCTTGATCTATTTCTTCTTCAATGTTGTGCAGCACTTGCTCCAGAAGATCTTTTTGTCAGTAGAGTTTTAGAGCGCTTTGGACTGTCAAACTACTTATCCCTGAATCTTGAACAGTCTAGCGAATATGAACCTGTTTTAGTTCAAGAAATGCTTACTCTTATTATTCAGATAGTAAAAGAACGGCGCTTTTGTGGGCTAACTGCTGCTGAAAGTGTGAAAAGAGAACTAGTTTATAAGCTATCCATTGGAAATGCTACTCACAGTCAAATTGTGAAGTCTCTTCCTCGCGATCTTTCCAGGTCTGATAAGTTTCAAAACATTTTGGATACTGTTGTTATATATCCCAATTCATCTGGCTTTAATCAGGGTATGTATTCATATCAGTGGCTATTTTGAAAAATTGGATTTGTATCATCCATGGTGGAATTCAAAGGATTTGCAAGTTTGGCTGAGAATAGTCTAAATGCAGTTGAGCAAATTGGAACTTACATTGATTCACTTTCAGCGAATACTCCGTCAACATGGCGACATTGTAGAAGGGACAAATCAATTCAGCTGCAATAAACACCAATGTCTCAACGGGACAATGGAATCATTAGGACATTCATTTCATGTAATCAATTAACTTGTGTTGAGTCACGCGCCGTGTCCTGTTGGAATTTTGGTCGATCGCGGTCTGGGAAGAACAAGACAGGTTCAAGCTAGTGATGTTTCTTTCAATGTTGTTGTAGTATTCTTCGGAGGACCCGATGATAATGAAGTGTTTGCTTACGGAATGAGAATAGCAGAACATCATGGGATTGTGCTAATTGTTGTTGAAATTGTGTCTCCACCTGGAATGACATTATCATTCAATGCTAAGTTAGTCGTTGTTGCATCGGATAAAAACGGAACAACAGTGATTAATGATAAAAAGGAGATTGATGGTTGAAAAATAAACATGATTCTGCTAACACACAATTGGAAAATGGTAGCTTGATTTCTGCAAGTGATAGTCAAAACGTACCTTTGAGAAGCTTCATACTGAGCCATATTTCCAAGCCGTGCACGTACGTCCAAGCTGATACAGAGTTGTATAAATTAATCCACGTCACAGAATTAAATGAACTACAAAGTGTAAAAAGCAAAACGACATGGAAAATATCAGCAAAAAAACTCACGCGTAAACACCCAATTCAAAACGGTAGCAAATTTTCACAAACGGCAAATCACTCACCCTCACTCTCAATCTATAAATACAAGCCACATTCATTCATTTCTCTCAAGCTTTTCAAGCCAAAAAAATCCCTGCTAATTTTCTTCACCAATTCCTCATTACGAAACCTTTCACTCATTTTTTTCTTCTCCTATTTCTTTCAACCAAATTCACTCCAATAGAGACAAATTCATCCAGAATCAAAGAAGAAGAAAGAAGAAGAAAGAAGAAGAGAATTTCGGTTTCATCATTTACCTGAGTTTGAAGGTAGTTTGAGCTTCACCGTCATTTTCGATTCGTTACTTTTGGTTGCATTTCTTTGAATTGTTGGTACTGTTGTGAAGAGCTCTTGATTGCGATCCGTTCCATGTGATTTCCATATCTCACCGCTCCAATTTATGAAGAAGTCTGTTTATCCATGGCCGTGAACAGTTGTCGTGTGTTTTGGAGAAGATGATGAAGTTCTATAACTTCAGATTCATTTTGCTTTATTTTTTTATTTTTATTTTTTAAACTTTTTTTTAACCAATCTTGGGCCGTGAGGCCTTTTTATTATTATCAACATTTTGTTTTACTTTAAAACCTCCCTTTCTTTCTTTTTTCCAATTTCCTTTTAATATTTTTTTCTAATATTTGTTTTTCTTTTGAAATATTTTTTTAAAATAGATTTTGTTTTGGATCTTAAATTTTGATAAGATCTCATCAATATCAATGGACTTTGAGTGTTGATTTTATCCACTAAAAGAGGTGATTGATATTGATGATGATTTAATCGATTTAAGATTCAAATTGAAATTTCTTTTCATTTTAATTTTCTTTCTTCTTCTTTTTATTTTTGATCGATGAAATCTATGGATCATAGATTGTTAATTATCAAGGTTGTTTAATCTTCATTATTTCAAATCTATGGATGAATAATCATTGAGATAATTCTCCGTACTTTGGAATAGTGATAGATTACCTTTGATTAATTGATGAAAAATCTTGATTGTGATGAGATCATTACCTCTTTTCTTTTTGTGTGGCATGTTTTAGGAGAGTGATTTATATATCACTTCTCTAACATGTGTTAACACTAACATTATTATTGACCGGCCTCAGATAGTCGTGGTTTCTACATAAACCCGATTACGATTGCTTAACATAGCGCTAAAGTATACCTTAATCGGAAAATGATCATTCGTGGCTCAAACTTATGTTTAAAAGTCCAAGTATGATTAGTTGCTTGTCTTAGGTCCAATACCTATGAAAATCATTGTTAGGAGGCTTTGATTCTATCAATCCTCTAATGAGTTTTCATTAACCTTGGTCTAAGTGCAAGAATTAATCATCATTGATCATATGTTCTAACCACTAATTACTAATTCACTAACATTATCCTTGTTTAATTTTGTTTATATTCTCTTCTTACTCCTTATTTCTTACTTTTATGTTTCCATATTACCATTTCATATCATATCTTTGTTTATGTTTATGTTATTTCTCTTTTGTCCACTTGGACCATACCTTGTTCAAAACACTAATAAAGGATAAAAAATATCTAAAAAACTTGGTGCTATTAACTTTGTGGTTATGCTCTTGGACTACTCTTAGACCTTGGACTTCATGGACCTTTGGACTTAGAATTAGGACTTTCATTCCTATGCTTGGAGTATTGTGGATCTTAGCCTTTATTTGGCTCGCTCATTAGCTTATGCTTTAAATCGGATGGAATTCTTTTTGCTTGCTATGGAGTGTGCTACAAGTCGGTTAGATCTTTCTTACCTCTAGCTCTTATTTTGGTTTCTAGGATAGTCACTTCATCTCCTCCCCTTCTTAAATTTTCAAAACTTTCTCCCTCTTTCAAAACCTTCTTGGTTTCAAACTTCAAAACCGCTTTCGCAATAAAACCTTGACTTTCGTCAAGTGATTTTCAAACTTTGTTCTTCTTAATAAAAGTCAATCAATGTTAATCATGCTTTGACCAATTTCAAAAGACATAAAAAAATACAAAAACTCATCAACTCTTTTTGTGCCTTTATGCACTTTTTCACTTTAAAACTTTTCATAAAGTTTAGACATGATTCATTTCTATAGTTGAGATGTAATTCTCCTATTCCCCATATTATTAAGACTTTGACATTTTCCACGTTGATGTTGAGTGATAGTCTTGTTGATAATCCAAGCAAATCCTCCATCTTTATGTGACACAAATGTTGTCTTAATACTCGTGGGTGAATAGTCGCAGTTTTCTCCTTAAAATGACGACTTGTATTTACATCTAAAATCAATCAAAACCAACAAATTTTTGTCATTTGTACCACGAACTACAGGGTTTTGATCCCATATTGCACTTTGTGGGTACGTAGGCATGAGGCGATAAGTCTCTCCAAACACAAAAATCTAAAAAAATAATTCTCTTCTCATCTCCCCAATCTCTTTTCAAACAAACCACTTTCAAACCAAAAAAACGTAAATATTTCAAAGGGCTCCTATAGAGTACTATAGACGTTTTGGGTGCTAACACCTTCCCATTGCGTAACCAACCCCCTTACCCCGATCTCTATTTCTTGTTCTTGTTTTAGAACTCTTTGGTTTTGTTCGCTCTTTTTCCTTTACTTTATTTGGATAAAATAAAAGTGCGGTGGCGACTCTTGTTTTTTTTTGAGTTAAGTTAATTAATAACTTACGCTCATGATTTTTACCGCTACAA